TTTCTGTACGCATAAACATTAATGCGTACATAAAATGGGGGGCAAGTGATAAGGGAAAAAATATACATTTATTAGGAGACACGTGGCTCGGGAGAATAAAGACACGTGTACCCCGAGGACCATCAGTGCCCAAGGTCGAGGCTGAAGCCCAACCCCAATTCAGGCCCAAGGTCCCAAAGAGCTTTACTCTGGGCCCAATGTCCTGAGGAGAATTACTGTAAGCCCAAGGTCCAGAGGAGCTTTACGTTGGGCCAAAGTCTGAGGTCAGCCCACGAAGCTTATGGGCCAGGGAGTCCTCCGCCTGCAGAAGGGAGACCTAGGTCATCTGACTCCTATAAAAGGACGACCTAAGTCAAGGTAAGGGACATTCTGAACTCCCCAAACTCTCTCTTCTACTCATTCCGCAGCCACCATCCCGGAAAACCTAAAACCGATTCTAACTTAGGCATCGGAGGGTCTACCCCTGGGGACAACCCCGGGGTTCTGTTTTGCAGGCATCTGAGCAAAGGAGACTAGTCCAGGAAGACGTCGGAGCATACATCAACCATCGCCACGTGTCCTCTGACTAACGTCAGGTAATTCTTGTATCATCAAATATAATTAATTATTATATTAATTATTTACTTAGTATTTGTTAATATTCATTATTTATCTTTTTATTGTTAGGATGATGTTTATTATCTTCTTATTGTTAGGATGATGTCTTATCTTTTAGATGAAAACTTGTTCAGTGAGTTAAAGGTTTAGGAGTCTATTTATTTGGTGTAAACAGAGGGAATCTGCGGTGTGAAGAATAAGAAACATTTCATTTGCGTATAATTCATCTTGTCAGTCCCATTTCGTGTAATCCGCTGCATCTACATACATATGCAGAGAAATAGAGAGAGAGGAGTGATGGGAAGATGAAACCATGGTTTTTTTTTTCCCTAATTTACAGACTCTTTATCTGACTATAATTCGAGAAATATGTTGACAAAAACCCTTCTTAATTCATCCCCTTGTACGCACAAAATTTGCAGGCTCTTTCTTTTGGGTTTTTTTTTCTTTTTTTTTGTATGAATGCAAAATTATCATACCATTGCGAAGCTGTAATTATGAGTTCACGAGGGTGAATGCAAAATTGGTCATAAGAATCTATTATAATTTTGATTTCACACGTATTTTTTCAAAGAATTGTGATTTTTTTTGTTGGATTTAGATACTTTTTTAGATTTTGGACTGTAAGGTATAATTTGCAAATTTAATTGTAAATGAAGGACAATAATGTAATTTTGTCTATTAAATAATTATAATGAATTCTCAACCAAACAAGTTAGGGTCATCTACTATTATAAAATAGAGTTAAGAAAAAATAAATTTTTGATAAGTGTTTTTCCCTCCAAAACATTTCGAAAATGTATGTGATTTTTTTCAATTTTTTCCATTTTTCCCGCATAAATGAATTATTCGATTTTGTAATAAATTTATGGAAACTGGATTGAGATTATTCTTCTTTTTTTTTTTGCCTATTCTTACTCCCTTTATTTAGGCTTATATTTGTTACTTTTTTTTTTAAATCTGATTTTTTATTTGACACGTTTTATTTATCTTGCTTTTCGTTTTTTTATCTATTACTATAAAATAGAGTTAAGAAAAAATACAATTTCGGTAAATTTTTTCCTGCTCAATTATTTCGAAAATTACCTTTTTGTGGAAACTATTTCTGAATTTATTTCACAAATCCCACCTAAAGTTTTTGATTTGATTTTGAATAGAAAAAACAAAATTCAGATTATTATTATACACATTTTTTAACACCTTTTTTTTAGGAATAGATTTGGTTAATTTCTCCCTATTTTAACTCCTTCCTTTTATGAAGAGATTTGGTTAATTTTTTTTGTAAAATTCGTTTTTACTATTTGACAAATTAATATAGGATATGTTTTGAAAAGATTCCTTTATTAAATAAACAATTCTATATGTTTTAACTTCCTATTTTTTAGGTTAGTAGTGGTTAAATCCGATTTTTAGAATAAGCCTAACTAAATATATATTTTTTTTTTTAGGATGTGATTAAGGAAACAATTCCATAAAAATATAGATTCATTAAAATATGATATATTATCTTGTACATAACCGATTTCTTTTGGATACATTTGAAAATAATTTCTATTGTTTTAAAAAGATAATGTAGGATATGTTTTGAAAAAAATTCCTTTATTAAATAAACAATTCCATAACATATTCGATTTTAATATTTTGTATATGCAAATAATTATTTCAAAATTTTACTTATTTAAAACAATTCAAATTAATATTGGATATGTTTTGAAAAGATTCTTTTATTAAAGAAACAATTTCATATCATATTCGATTTTAATATTTTGTATGCAAATAATTATTTCAAAATTTTGCTTATTTAAAACAATTCAAATTAATATTGAATATTGTAGATCACATCTATTATTTGCTTACTATATATTTAAAATCTAAAATAGCTTGGATTGGGTTTAAGGTGATAAGCACGATATTTTTTGTTGTGGAAAATCAAACAAAAAGTATACTATTTTAGGTATAAAATTTGATTTCATTTGATAAGCTCAATCAAATTTGATTATGACCAAATCAAACAATTTTGAACAATATTAAATTAATCGATTACTATTGAATTAAATTTTTTTTTTTATTTTCACGTCGAAAATTTTCTAAAATAATATTTTTTTTTTGTGGAAAATATCGGCTGGATGAAAAGGTAAAATTCAAATTAAAAAAATTGTTATTTTAAAAAATATATTTTGTAAACCTTAAGTCATAAAAATATGGTCAATGATATCTTTAAATACAACGTGTAAATATGGTCAATAATATCATAAATTATTATTTTTTATTCGGGTAGTTCAACTTAATTGATGATTTTTTTTTTTTTCCCAAAAAGTATGATGATCATATAATTAATTTTATCATATATCTAATGTTTGATGTTATTAGTTTAGTTGGGGATATCCATTATATTCAAATAAATAATATATAATTTTTTATATTTGGTATTTCTTTTCTTACAATAATGAGATGTTAAACATAATAACTATGTTTAATATAAAGTCTTAGAAAAAGTTTTAAGTAAAAAGCCGTCCGTGCATCGCACGGGATACACACTAGTATTTAATCACATGAATAAGCCTTTAATAGAAAAAGGGAAATAATCAAGCACATTTCCTTATTGCAACCAAACACACCCTTAAAGTAAATGGTAGATTAATTTATGTACACATATTATTACAAAGAACATTTATACTATACATACTACTAACATGTAAACTTAAATAATATTATGCACATTGCTTTAGTGAGTATATTAAACAAATAATTCTATTGAGATTATATATTTTCCACTTAACGAATAACTTTTTTCCACATAAATTTGTCATTTTGTATGTTGAAGAATTAATTTTGATTCAATCATTCTTAAACATATGCTCTTTAATTTTTTAACACCATAACCAAAAATCTCTATAGTAAGCAATACGTTATTTGAAAATTTGAGATGATATTTTAATTGGTACATTATATATTTTACACTTATAAAATAACATATACTTTATTTAGAAAAAAAAAAACTCAAACTAATATTTTCTCTTACATTTAAAAACAACCTTTAAAATAACTGTATCTAAATCTAAACCTAACGTCATATGTAGATTAATTCTAAATAACATAATTAAGAATAAATTATTTGTTTAAAATCTACAAATTTGCATGCATATTTGTATGTATAAAATATAAAAGACAATAAATAAAAGTACATTAATGAAATTGAAGTTTAAAAACTTAACAAATATAGTTAGTTGTAACTTCCTAACACTAATAAAAAAATTACATTAATAACCTTCAAACTTATCGTGAGGGTATTCTTGTCAATTTCAAAATTTCAAGAAACTACTATTTCTTTTAAGAGAGACTAGATAGATATAGATTATAGATTTAAAATTTTCAGAGTTGGGAACTCTCAAGCCGGAAATTTTGGGTCAATTCAGATCACAACTTCACTCCCTCCGTAAGATACATGCTTGACTCAAACCAAAGATACATGCTTCTTTATGAACCCACTCTACAGATACACAGGGTCCATCAAAACAGGGAACCAAAAAAAAAAAATCACAAATGAGTGAATCACTAAGCTAAATTAACAAGGCACATCAAAGCAATCCTCCCGCGGATACTTGTACAACGAATAAAGTAATAAGATCAGGCGATAATGGCGACGCCCACTAATACCGAGTGACGAACGAGAAAACAATACTCACACAGAAGAGGAAAAGCGGGAATAAGTGGTGATAAATGCGTGTTTCTAGAATAGTCGACAAGGACTGACTATTGATTTCGGAAGAGTCAACAGCAAGTGGCATGTCATCACTGTTGAGACTGCAGTTTTCCGGGTCGGTAGAATCATCGGTGTTCATTATGATTGCCCTCAAAACAGCAGAGACCGTGTGTATGTAAGCGGACCTGTTCTTGTTAAGTAGCCAAGTGAGGCCCATGAGCTCGCAGTCCTGGTTATGCATTTTACTTGTCCTATCCGTTCTGTTACTTCTTCCAGCCTTATCTCCATTCAGCTGCATATCAATAATCATAACTTACTGTTATTCGAAAATTAAAAATAAAACTGAAATCAAATACACAAGTAGGGACTTAAAATATATAGTGGTATGAGGGTACAAGATGTCAAAAGTCGGACTGATTATTACTACATGAACTATGTTTATATACATTTTACAGGACTAATGTAAATGATAAAACCAGTCTGGGTACGAAACCAACAAAAGACAATTCGGATGCTATGTGTCCCCTCCATAGTTTCTTTGTATGATTTGTGTGTGTGTGTGTGTGTGTTTTTTTTTTCCGACAATGCTATAGACCATATAACACAGGATCACCGTCTTCTCAATTATAATAGTCATATTATTATTTTAAATTTTCATATTATAGGCGAGCTTTATAGATCCACGCCTCTTTGCCTTCTGCATTCAATTAGGCTAACCTCACCCAAAATCTCTTACTGAAAATTAGTCGTACATTCTATGACTAGGGAAATGAAATCAAAAGTTCTGCGAGCTATTGCGGGGCATCCAGTCTAAAACCAAAGGGATTTTTGTCGGTGGTTACTTTGCTCGAATTTCTTTAGCAATGGTGTACACACTTTAGCAACAGTGTACATACTTCAGCTTGAGTTCTAATAACGATTTACAGGTATCGTAAACCTAAAAATCCTAAGAATTTAAAGACATGCTAAGAGTTGAAGAATAGTGACTTAATTTAAACATTTTAGAAATTACAGAAGTATGCATTCACTCTCCGACTATCGATCCCTTATTTATTTTCGGATAAGTACAGAACAGCCCATGAAGTTTAGCCACATTGCAAACCTCCCACTTATCTTTCAACATTACAAATACCCCGTTCCTACTGGAATTAGTTTTATCACCTACACAAAAGCACCCAAAATATTGGCCGTTTTCCTGACAGAACAAGTTTTTGCTCCTCCATTGGCAATTTACATAAAGTAGATTTCTAGTGGAAGCTAAAAAGTAAGATAAAAATGTCAGCACATTAATAACCCATGAGACCAAGAAAAGGCACCAGAGATAGGAGCAAGAAATGCTGCCCAATAGAAAGCAATCAATAATATGAAGAGGTAAATTTTAAAATAGAGGTCCAAAAAGAAGAAAAGAAAGAATCAAATTCCAATCATCATCTCAGTTATAAAACATAAAGATATACCCATAAGCACATTACTCTGCAAAATGCCTTGCTACTTTTTCAATTGATCATATAAGCATATACGAAGAAAAAGTTAGAGCACGAAGCTTTAAACGTTTACTAGGAAGAAGAATGATAAACATTTCCGGAACTGAAACATGTTTCTCATTGGTGATAACAACGTACATTCCACGTAATTCTATAAATAGACGGGGAACATTTTGGTATCTCATATGGTAACACAACAGAATAGGTATCTTCCCGTTTCGCGTGTCTCAACTGCAGACACTTGTAGCAGCTAAAGATGAGACGAATGCTAGTACTCTGTGTGACTAGATAGTTCGCTTTCATATTTGTCATACAAGACATGAATTGCAGTTAACTTCTGTTTACATTCACCTTCGTCTCATCTCACTAAAGACCAAGATTCTGATATTGGTAGGCTTATTTACAGAACAAGAACATAAAAGTAAATCGTCTTTTAGAATATTTAATTCGGCCATCAGCTAGATTCGGCCATCAGCTAGCTACTCAGAATGTGAAATGAATGAGTGTTGAATTAGGGGAAAATTTATTTTTTTTTTTTATTTAGAATGAATTCTTCTTGATCCTTTTTGACTTTGGGAGATTTTGAATTTATATTTAGGTCTTGTGTTCACATACACAACCAATTTGTTGAGATGATATAGGGCTTTGAGCTTGTTTTGTCAAACCCCATATGAACTAAAGTCACACAACATAACTAACGAATCACATGCCAGACACATTATAAAATATACTCTCCTGACCAGGACTTTGCACATAAGATTTCCTTCATCTCTTCTAGCTAATCTAATTTTATGCGATTAAAAACACGCGTTTCGGGACAAACTTAAGCACATACCCCTCAGACAGTCGAGCATATAGTTAATCACTGTTGCGGTCAGAGACGAGAAAAAGAATGAATTGTGAACAATATTAGTAGCTTTCTTATGACTGCTTGATCCTTGTTACGTTGAAATGCATTGTGCCACTGGTGATTAGTTCAGCTGTGCAAGCATAATTTCCTTAATATATGATCCTACATACTTTTTGAAATGTGCAAATATCTTCTAGTTTATTCACCTTTCAAAGTATAATCACAGAACTTTAATACCTCGAATGCATGATTATCCTTGAATCAAGCAGAGAAAAATCCAAAGAACAAAAAAAAGCAGAGAAAAATCCAAAAGAGCCCACTTTTAAGAAAATGACCTTCATGTGACTTAACAGAATGCGTGTTGTGAGTGCCCAAAGAAAAAGCAGAAACAAATGAGTGTTGTAAAGCGAATTCGTACCAAATAAAGGCTGTGGAGGCACTTGGAGCACCCACCGAGCCCACCGCCATGCCCGTAGTTCAAGCAATCCCTCTCCAGCCTTTTGACGGATTCACCGCCGACCAATTTCCCGCGCGTGTTGACTGAAAACGCTTCCGGACAGCTGAAGGGGTGCAATCTGATCCCGCAGTAGCAGTAAACAACGTCGCACGTCGCGTTGGGCCCAGGTAGCTGTACTCCCTTGTTGGCCAGCGCCTTCTCCAGGGTCTCGACGCAGGTCTCCGAGTCGTCGGGCAGCACGGGCATGTCGTACGAGACCGCTTGGGCAGGCGGGGACTTGGCAGCCATTGCTGCCGCGCGCAATCCGGTCTGGGAGTAGGCGGAGTAGAGCCAGGCGGCGAGTACGGGGCAGCATCGACTGCGGTGGAGCTCGCTGGAGTAGAATTCGGGGCTGGGGCGGTGGTGGGTGGAGGGTCCGCAGGCTGATTTGACGCCGTAGAAGAGGTTTTCCGGGATGTCGAGGGGGCATGTGGTGGCCTGGGATTGTTCCGGGAAGGCGGGGATGGTGGCGGGCGGGGTGCGGTTGAGGATCTGGGTCTGGGCGGAGGGCGGGTCCAGGGCGGGTAAAATGGGCATGGCGGAGGTCAGGTGGAATGTGGTGAGCAGAGAGGTGAGTAAGATTGTGGTAATGGCGGACATTGGTGTGTGTGTGTGTGTGTGTGAGAGAGAGAGAGAGAGAGAGAGAGAGAGAGAGAGAGAGAGAGAGAGAGAGAGAGAGGGAGAGAGAATTATGATGGGAGAGGAAAGGAAGAGTAGAGTGGGAAGTGAGAGAAATGTGTGGTGTGTGCCCTTTTGTGTACAGGTTGGATTAGAGAGACAAAGGTTGTGCAGTTGGCATTGGATTTTTTTGGTAGTTGTATCCTACATTAGTTAATAGCTATACTAACCCATAGTGGCTCTACTCAAGAGATGTGCATCATTATATCTCTAACTTAGATATGTCATGAATGTAATGATTAGTTATGTCAAAACAGGCTAACGGGGCAGAAGACTTGTAGCCCATCAACACGCGCCAATTGGTGGGACGGGATGAGCTGGCCCACCATCCTGACAGGCCTATAAAATGCAGGCCCAACTCGCCCCCGCATCGAGCCGCGAATTGGCCCGCCACAATTATTTTTACTAATTTAATTTCAGGAAAAAAAATTAATTAAAACTCACAATTTCGAAGTCTAATCTAATCTACCGCCCAACTCTCAGACACTACAACTTTGTAGCCACAAATTTACTAATGAGATACACAAGTTGCACAACATCACCAAAAAGAAAAATATGATACAAATTTTTTTTTTTTAAAAAACCCCAATGCCTACGAATTGCGTAATCATTGAAGACCGACGGGCGAGGGCGGAGGGCGCACGACGGAGGGCGGAGGGTGCACAGGAATGGCGGTACGCTGTCGGCAGAGTTGCCGCCGACCAGTAAGCTTTATGAGTTAGGGCGATTAGGATTACGACGGTAAGTAGTTGAGATTTGCATGAGATTTTTTTTTCTCTTGGTGGGTAGGTTATTTAGTGGGTGTGGGTTAGTGCCTAGTGGATTAATCACAACTCAAGTGTGAGGTTAACTTTGCAGCTCTTCTTGGGCTTTTGTATATGGTCCGATAATTAGAGTGGGCTAAGGTGGTGAAGGCCAAATATTGAAGTTAAGAGTGGACTGGCATCGAAAATGAGGAGTTAAGGATCTCCTATATTACTAATTTGGTCTCTTATATTCTTTTTTGTTTTTTTAAATTTTTAATAATTGACGGACAGCCAGCGGGCTAGCCACTTGGGGCATCAACCTGGTAGGACCCATGCCGCGGGGGTCGGGTTAGAGGAAGTTTTTTATCGTTGTAGTGGATTACTTCACGAAATGGGTCGAGGCCGAACCATGGGCCAAACTTACAGAAAACAAGATATTTCATTTTCTTTATAACAATAATTGCAGTGGATAACTACTTGTTCGTGTACAACATAAGCTAACAAAATTATTCTTATAAGTAGTAAACATGTTACTAGCATAAGTTAGGTTACTTTATGTAAATATGCTATCAGGTGTCTTTGTGTTATTATTTGCACTATTTGTAATTACCAAAATAATGAAATAATAGTTTCATTAAATAAAAGGCATAGGCAAAGTTGTTCTTAAAAAAAATAAAATTATCCATCATCTAATTAGTAAATTGACACGAATTTTAAGATAGTTATCCATAATTCAAAACCAATTGATATGAATTTTAATAGAGGTTTTAGTTTGTTAGATGTTTTTTAACGATGTTGAATAAATGCGAAAAAAACAAGTGACAGTTAAATGAGTTAAGTATAGAGTTTTTATTGTGCAAAAGGTCAACCTGCAGAAATCAACAGTCTTTTTCTAAAAAGAACACACATCTCCAACTCCAAAGGACATCTCCATCATTTTAGATGGAATCAGTGTCCATCGTCACGGTATTTGTGGATGCCTGTTGGGATTGGCAAATCAAAGGAGTCTTTTGAGGCTGTGTTGGTTGCAATCAAGAGTAGACTTGTTAACTGAAAGAATAAGTTCATGTCTTCAGTTGGGAAAGAAAAAATACTGATAAAATCAGTGCTAAATGCACTCTAGTGTTCATAATGTCTTGCTTATGTCTCCCTGTAAGCATATTCCAGGAAATCTAAAGTTTGTATGCCAAGTTCTGATGTAGCTCAGATGAGGACCAAAGACCAGGCATTCATTGGAAGGAATGAAAATGGATGGCTACACCAATGGAGTGGGGTGGGCTTGATTTTCAAATTGTGCAGTTATTTAATGAAACTTTAATCCTCAAACAAATCTAGAGGTTAGCAACTAAACCGAATCTTATGGTAAGCAAGATCATGAAAGAAAGACATTACTATGAAGGGTGCATTTTTTTAAGCTAAGAGAACTCAAAGTTCATCCTAGATGTGGAACAGCAGGGTTAAAGTGATGCACAAATACTCTCATTTCTTCAGGAGGGAAGTTAGAGATGAGTTGAATACCAGGAATAGAAGTGATCCCTGGGTATAGGAGCTGAAATAAAGTATACTGAAAACTAAATTGATAATTTGAGATAACTTACTTGGGTGAAAGAGCTAATTGTTGAGGGAGAAACAAACTGGAATGACGACCTAATTAGCGAGATCTTCATAGAGGTAGACTGTGAAGCCATTTTGAGAATTAATACTCTCAACCTAACCTTTAAAGACAGGTGGATCTGGACTGGGGTAAAATAGACAACTTCTATGTGGCTTGTGTTTATTCTACTCTTATGAGGGATAAAATTCACAGCTGGAATATTCATGAGGGCAGCAACTCAAAAAGAAGTGCAAAGAAGGCTAGGGACAGGTGCTGGAAGTTAAAAGTTAAAGGAAAACTGAAACATTTTTTTTTGTTTCTGATACATTACCAATTGAAGCTGAGACACAGAGGAGTAATTGTCGATAGCATTTGTAAATGATGTGATGATGAGGAGTCCATAGTCCACCTTCTTTTCAAAGGTCAAAGGGCTCAAAAGGTGTGTAAACTCTCCCCTTTGACTTGGGATCATAATCAGAGTGCCACTACCTTCAAATTAAGGCTGGTGGTGGCAGGTTTCTAGTCTTGATAGCTCGAACATTGCAGAAGCTCGCATTCAGCTATCCACATGTATCACGTGGTGGCTTTGGAAAGCCCACAACGTGTGGGTCTTTCCAAATAGTTGTTTGGGTGAAAAAAGACATTGTGCATTCTACTTTGAGAGAGTGGAGTGAGTATGATGCAGTGTACTGTAGGTTCTTGCAGCTTGACAGGTGAGAAGGAGTCTAGGCTCTTATGTTCAGTGGTCTCTTTCTTCCTTGTAGCTTTGTGTTTTCTGGTTTACTGTTTGTTTGTGTGGTTGGTTTGTTGTCTAAAGGGGTCAAATGGTAATGTCTGCCTTTAGTCTAGTTAGTTGATGTGTTTAGTTTGTTTAATTTGGTGTCTAGGTCACTTGCTTGAGGTGGTTTTCCTTGTTTTTTTGTTGGTTTGTATGGGCTAATTGACCTATCAGTTGTAAGATTTTATTTCCAATCGTTTATGGAGATTCCTGCTATTGTTTCGAAAAAAAATAAGCTAAGTTATTAAATACTAAAATTTAATACTAAATAAGGGTCACTTGTTAATCACACCACCAACTTTCCTTAAGTGGCAATAAACTTATGGAACCGACCACTAAAACTTTATACCTTTAATAATTGTGTTGTCTAATTATATAGTACATAGATATGCATTCACAATACTTAATATGCTTACAATTGCTAAATTTATATATTAAATAATCAAGTACCACATAAATATATGTAGAAAAAAT